TATATACATATGTATATGTACATGGAGAAACTTATATCTTATGGTGGCACATACCGACTCTGCTCTAGTACTGCCCTGACATGGTACGAGTGCAGAACCATTTTAATGCTATGTCACTACGTAATTGCATATTTAGAAACATCAATGCAACATTTCTTGAACTTGTTCAGTTCATTCGATTGATTTGAATATAATGGTCTAAATTCAGCACTACACTAGGTCAGTTTTCATTTGCCGAATACGACAATCTTAATGCACTAATACAATGTGCATAATGTGTGGCACTGAAAAAATTTGGTACACTCAGTACGCACTAATGCAGTCTGCCGAATTTGCTATTAAATATCATATAACAAAGAAAGAAAAGATTCCAGGAAATAAATCATTTACTAAAAAATAAGCCAATGCAAGTCGATACAGATTATTCATATGTAAAATTTTGTAATTTATTCGATTAATATAATTGTGTCGATTCGCGCGCATACACGCACGCACGCGCACGCACGAACACACACACACACACACACACACACACGCACGCGCACGCACGCACGCACGCACGCACGCACGCACGCACGCACGCACGCACGCACGCACGCACGCACGCACGCAGATGCTTATTTTTTAATAAGTGATCTATTTCTTAAACTTGTATTTTAAAAGAAAAGATTTCTTTTTTCTGTGTATGTGTTTATCGATTAGGGGAGAAATTTCTCCCTTCCTTTTCAAGTTTTTTTTTCCGTAAACGGATACCTGGGACAAAATTATACACATCTATTCGCGATATAAGCGTTTGCATAATAAAATTCTCTTATCGAGAAATATGTGAGTTCTCAAAAATTCAAAGACAAAAAATTACGATAATTTCAACATGCGTGCAGAGGGAGGATTCAAGTGACGATATCAATGATTTAGTCGAGAAATGTGAAATAAAGATATCATTGTCAATACCTACAGCGTTTAAGATGTTTGGTCCAAAATTATCTAGTCTCATGACTCGCGAGTTTTCAAATTTTCACAACTACATTCGACACGATGGTAATGTCTATTACATATTTCACTCTAATTAAAATGTTTTAGTCGTTTTTTATGCTGTTTATAATTTCATAAGTTTTCAATTTAATTATTAATTTATCATTAATTTATTTTCAATTTAAGTTTTTTAATTAATAGACTTGACAGACTTTATATACGTTTAATATTAACATAAATGTAATTACTTATTGTAATTTATTTAAAGCATGAATTTAAAAGTTGCAACACAGACTTTTATATAATGCTTAATGCATAACGCATAGTACATAAGAGAATTAACTAATCTGAATTCTTTCTTTTCTCCCGTTTTATGGAAAAGAAGAATTTTGATTGATTGATTCTCTTATACCACTATGCAAAAGTCTGTGTCGCGGCCCTTACTCATTAAAGTTAAATTTAATCATATTTTATGTCTCCATATGATATTACATTTTATTTGAGTTATTTGTATTATTAAAATCTCACAAATATCTTATATCAATATTCTTTTCATATAGTGGAATATATCTGATACTAAAGCAATAATTTTTCTCTCTCTGTCTTCTTTTTCTATTTTTTCTCCCTTTCCCTCTGGTGTATATGGAAATATATTGTGAAAAAGAAATTATAGAAGCTTTAATATTAATATTGCAAAAAAACAAGAATTACGCGAGCTAATGACGAAATCATGAAAAGGCCTAAAATAAAGAGATATACTTTAAAGTTTTATCAAAAATTCAAGAATTTATCAAAAAAACCTACTTTCGTCTACTGCTTGTTTGCTGTTGATAAGATCTAAAAGTATGTTTATGTTTATTTCAGTAAAATGTAATTTAATCCCTTCAGACCATACGTATATTGTAATGTACATCAAATATTATCCATTAAAATTATTTAATTCTATCAACCTCATCTGAGAGTTCATGTACATAATAATGTATATGTTGGAAAAATGATCAAAATTTTGAAAACAATTAGTTGTTTATTATGGATTATTTATTAATGCATGAATTAAATTAAAACAAATTTTTTTAACATAATTTTGATAAAAGATTTGAAGGAATCAAGAAAGAAAAATAACCGTTTACTATATCTATTACGTTCTGCATGTAGACTACAGTTTTCTTAATTTTTATAATAAAAGTGGATTATATGATGTACAGTATTTATTTTTATCTTTTTATATTTTTAACAATTTTTATTATTATTGTCTTTCGTCTTATTTGTTTACGTTTTTCATATTTTAACTAAACTATTAAAATATTTGTATGTTTTTTTAATATTAATAGGAAGATGAGGATGGTCATTTGATTGTCCTGCAAATGATACAGGATCTGATGATTAAAGGCAAAGATGAATTCTTAGAACATTTCGCACGTTTAGGAGTATTTTCAAAAGTTGCTACTTTAGCCGGGCCACAAGAAACTACGCCCGAGCCAGAAGCGGAATCAAATCAATCGGGAGAAGAGCAAAGAATGGAAGACGCGAAAGAATTGTTAATAGGAAGAGCGTATCACTGGAGAGATTGGTGCATATGTCGAGGACGTGATTGTCTTTACATATGGTCAGATGCGGCAGCTTTAGAACTATCGAATGGAAGTAATGGATGGTTTAGATTTATCCTTGATGGCAAACTAGCAACTATGTACTCTAGCGGAAGTCCGGAAGGTGGAACAGATACATCGGGTGAGCATACATACACCCGCCTACGCGCGACATACACACACACACACACACACACACACACAACACACACACAAATACACACAAAACGCTTATATTTGCAAAAGTCATATCAACCTCGCACCATTTTTCATATTAATCTTACTATTACCATTTTCTTTATTGTTTTTCGTCATTAATTATAAATGAATATAGTTTCCTCAACATCACTTGATACATTACATTTTCCATTTGTGATTAACTTTCGTTAGGGGAACTATGTAAAAAATAACGTTTTACTAACTGCCTACAGGAAAGGGGAGGAACACTGAGTCGCTTACAACTGAAGGTAGGTTACATACATGTTTAACTCGTGTTTAATGACTCACACATTATACTTATTATCTCTTTTTAGTATATTCTACAAACGTGTGATATAAAAATATTGAACTTTTCTTTCTTTATTTTCTTCTTATAACATAATAGCATTCTCTTTCATATCTTGAAATTATTGTCAAGCGAGATAAATTATCTGATCACACGATATGATCCGTACATTCCAGAAAATCGTGGTGAATTTTTGGAGAAACTGCAAAGAGCGCGTAGTCAATTAAAAGTGAATTTTATAAGTCAACCTGTGCTCTCTCGGCCTGGTACTACACGTCTGGTCGTAGGAAATTGGGCATTATCTAGTAGAAAGGAAAGTGAATTATGTATACATAATAGTGATGGTCAACAACAAGCAACTATTTTAAGAGAAGACTTACCAGGTTTTATTTTTGAATCAAACAGAGGTACTAAACATTCCTTTACAGCGGAAACAAGCTTAGGTATGAGAGGAGTATCTCATTATATCAGCGTAATACTATTACTGTTAAAATTACTGTTAAAATCCTTAAAGTCTTACGATTATTTCTCATAATTTACATATTATAGGTCCAGAATTTGCAGCAGGTTGGACTGGCAAAAGAGGGAAAAGATTAAGATCGAAGATCGAAGCGATTAAGCAGAAAGTTAAAGTACAAGCACAAGAGATATACGAACGTTACTTTAAAGTAGCTCAAGCTCAACCACGCGGTGTAGTTGCTAAGCTCGGTGCCATTGTTAATCAAATAGAAAAAGCATCTCAAAAACAACAATCTGGGAGTCGGGAATGGCGCAATATACTACAAACTGCGTTAGAACAACTCAAAGTATTGTTGAATGAAGAGGGTCGAGTTTCCGCATATGAGCTGCACTCCAGTGGTCTTGTACAAGCGTTACTTGCTTTGTTGGCAGCACCTTCTGGACCCACGCTCCCAACATTGAGAGCCACTAAACTTAGGATGCAAAGGATAACTGCATTCAAGAATTGCTTTCAAACAAAAGACACAAATAAAGAGCTTAACTCGGCCAAGATTTTAATCCATAAGTTGATTTCGGTGTTGGAATCAATAGAAAAATTACCCGTATATTTGTATGACACACCCGGATCAGGCTACGGTTTGCAGGTATCAATGCAGATATATGCATATCAATAAACTTCTTTCGCACATGTGTTTCTCATGCGCGTGTTTTGTTACATTTTGCAGATTTTGACGAGGAGATTACGTTTTCGACTAGAAAAAGCTTCTAGCGAGAGCGCGTTAATAGATAGATCTGGTCGCAGCTTAAAGATGGAACCATTAAGTACGATACAACAATTGGAGAACCATTTGTTAAAAATGGTGGCTAAGCAGTGGCATGATCACGATAGGTCTACATTTGCTTTCGTGAAAAGATTAAAGGAAGAAAATAGAATAACGTTCAAATATCAACATGACTTCGACGAAAATGGTTTATTATATTGGATCGGGACAAATGCTAAAACTTGTTCCGAATGGGTAAACCCGGGGCAATATGGATTGGTTGTCGTTACGTCGAGCGACGGACGAAATCTTCCATATGGTCATCTTGAGGATATACTCAGCCGTGATCCATCGGCATTAAATTGTCACACCAACGACGACAAACGGGCATGGTTCTCGATAGATCTTGGAGTTTGGATTATTCCGAGCGCTTATACCTTGAGACATGCGAGGGGATATGGTAGAAGTGCATTGAGGAATTGGATGTTTCAAGCGTCAAAGGATGGAATTACTTGGATAACGTTATACGCTCATGTAGACGATTGTTCTTTGAATGAGCCGGGTAGTACATCTACTTGGACATTGGAGCCACCGAGTGAAGAAACGCAAGGCTGGCGACATTTACGTCTACAGCAAATTGGCAAGAATGCTTCAGGACAGACGCATTATCTCTCTGTGTCTGGTTTTGAGGTTTATGGGGAAGTTACTGGAGTGTGTGAAGATTTAGGCCGTGCAGCTAAGGAAGCAGAAGCCGGTGTACGAAAACAAAGAAGATTTATCAAGATGCAAGTTCTTAAACATTTAGTTGCAGGAGTTCGAGTAGCTAGAGGTCTAGATTGGAAGTGGAGAGATCAGGATGGCGTACCACCAGGTATGTGCATGATAATAATTTCATTGCCAATGTGTACTGACTAATAGGAACTAACAGGAACGTAACACTGGATCTGATTTTAATATAGGTGAAGGCACAGTTACAGGAGAATTACATAACGGATGGATAGACGTAACATGGGATCATGGTGGATCGAATTCGTATAGAATGGGTGCCGAAGGAAAGTACGATCTCAGATTGGTTGGCATTGGTTTGGATACAGACAACACGACAAAATGTAAGAGTGGCGGAGGTGTTTTAACGGGTCGAAAATCAAACAGCACTCCTAGTTTACCCGACTGTACCGATACCGCCATGCGTAGTTCGGTAGCTTCTACAGATCAAGCTGCGAGTGCGGATAATCTAGCGGCAAAGGTAAAATTTATTTATTTGTCATGTTCATTTATTAAATTATGAAAGCTTATGTTGCTATAAGAGGCTACGTATTCAAAGATATTATTAATCTAATTTTGCGACGAGCAGCAAGCTGCCGAGTCGATAGCCGAGAGTGTGTTGTCGGTAGCTCGTGCGGAAGCAGTGGTTGCCGTAACTGGTGAGAGCGGGGCAAACTCGACGAGCGAACTTTCAGTTGTATTGCATCCCAGACCAGATACAACTGTTACTAGCGATCTAGCTACTATCGTCGAGAGTCTCACTCTCAATACGGACTGTCCCGTTAATAGCACCAGTAACCGAGCGTCAAGCTCGAAACCACTTTTCGCTACTGTACGAGGAAATAAGGTGAATTGTGAAATTATTGTTATTGTTGTTATTGCTGTTTGAAAGTAATATTTTTCTCGTCTTTCTCTAAGATATCATAGTTTATATGATAAATTAATATGATCTACATTATACACATAGGCTAGTGGAGGTTTATTGAGTTTGGAAACCGCTGAAGTTTTGGATCGTATGAGAGAAGGTGCTGACAGATTGCGCAACAATACTAATAGTTTTCTGAGTGGTGAGTTACTTGGTTTAGTTCCTGTTAGAATCAGCGTTTCTGGCGAGTCGGATGAAAACTTAAGGATTAAATCTGTACCGAGACATCATCCTGGGATCGCGGATGGTATGTATATAAATGTGTATTCCTTTCAATAAACTCATTTTAGCACTGTAACGCTTATATTTAAATCAGACATATCAATCGGATCGAGAGATCGTCTATAACATCTTTTAAATACCTTTTTTGTTTGTATACGGTAAATATACGACCGCATTTTAATTAGTGACCGAACATTGATTTCTTTCCCTCGTGATCATATTGATAACGTATGTAAAAATTCCGTACATTTTTCCTTCGAATTAGTTGCTAAAGACTGTACTCGAGAAAAAGAAGCTAGCTCGTCTACGCAAAATACAACGGGCGGTTGTCCTGTTGTGGTTACCAATCCTATGTCGGTATCTGTGCCTAATCTCGCTTGTTCCGATGCTAACAATACCTTGGAATCAACAGCTGCTACTGGTTTGTTGGAAACTTTTGCTGCAATGGCGCGAAGACGAACATTAGGTTAGTTCCAAATTAAGTAATTACATGCGGCGAAATTACATTTGTTATCATTTTATTACTGTACAATTGTATTTTATTATTATAATAATTATTATTATCATTAAACCATCAACACATGTACGCTGTATTTTTGCGAAATGTTTACGTAAAGCTATCTCTTTGATTATATTTAGTTACATTAGGAAGATGATAATTTGTCTCTTTGTAACACATTGCATCTCTTTTGTAGTAAATAATTCTTAAGAAACAAAAAAGATAAAAAATTTTTAGGACCTGCAGGTGGACAGCATCTTGCTTCAAATTCTAATACGAATTGTAATCCAATTCGAGGACCGAATTCTGTATCTAGTCTCGTACGATTGGCACTCAGTCCCAATTTTCCTGGTGGTTTACTTAGTACGGCGCAAAGTTATCCAAGTCTAACAAGTAGCGGACAAGTAGCGGGTAGTGGCGTTACTACGACAACCGGACCTGGTTTAGGACAAGCGCTTACTATGTCTCTAACTAGTACAAGTAGCGATAGCGAGCAGGTAAAATTACCATTTGAATAATTTTTTAATACTAATGTGTTTTATTGAAATTTACTCTCACAAATGTTTGTTTACTTGAAAGAAAGTGTAAGATTTGATTTTGCCTTATGATACAATGTGCAAATATTCATGGTTTCAGGTCAGTCTTGAAGATTTCTTGGAATCCTGCGGAGGTGTAGCAACTTCTAGCACCGGTGGAGGTCGTACTACTGGTGGACCAACGCTTTTGACTGAATTGGAAGATGACGAAGACGGTGTCCTAGAAGAGGAAGAAGATAATGAAGAAAATGATCAAGAAGTAATTGCGCAGCTTTTATTTCATTAAGAGTTGTGTATCTTATAAATAAGTCTGTAAACTTCACAGATTTTATTTTGCTTTCTCGATCTCCTTAAAGACTTGATTGCACATAATTTATGTTATTTTCTGTTAACATCTTGATATTTTCACTACGGAAAAATTGAATCAATCTGATTGGTCGAAGAATGCGCCTACAAAATTGAACTCACTTTAGAAATCACTGGTGTTATCAAGTGGTACGATTAGGGCTATGACCTCAACAACATATGTTTAGATCAAGATTATCGAAATTGTATTTATTAACGTGTAAAAAATTGTCATATATATGATGAAATGTATAAGTGTCATTATATTATCTTAGGAAGAAGATGAAGAGAATGAAGAAGAAGGTGATGGTTGTGAAGGTGAATATGAAGAAGTAATGGTAAGTCGTAATCTCTTGGCAGCATTCATGGAAGAAGAAGCACCACAGAGTAGCAAAAGACGTGCATGGGATGATGAGTTTGTATTGAAGCGTCAATTTTCTGCTCTTATCCCTGCTTTTGATCCACGTCCTGGCCGAACTAACATTAATCAAGTAAGTAATGTATTAATAAGTAATAAATTAGATACGTTATTTTTTTTTTAAATTGCATCATTCTGAGGTTATTTTTATAACAGACAACTGATTTGGAAGTTCCCCCTCCTGGTAGCGAGACGCAAGTTAACAGTCGCATAGGATCATTGCCTATGCCTAGACTTTCTTTATCATTAAAAGGACCCGGATTCCCGGGTATACCGGATGTCGAGATATCACTTTCTGATTCGCATGCTAGTATTTTTCAAGCGGTCCAAGAATTGATGCAGTTAACTGAATTAGGCAGCCGTCAAGAGAAATTAAAAAGAATATGGGAACCAACCTACACGTAATAATTTGAATTTCGTTCATTTTACACCGTATTTTTAAATCATAAGAAATTAGTAAATTATAAGTTAATTGTGCCTTTCCATATAGAATAATATATAAAGAAGCCAGAGACGAGGAATCATCTGGCAGAGCAACGCCGATCGTAACATTATATTCTCGTAATCCGACGCAAAACACAAACGCGTGCACTGTCGAAGATGTTCTACAACTCTTGAGACACGTATTTGTCTTGGGCACTATTCGGGACGAAGGCTTAGCAGAGCAGAACGAGTCGAATGATACGACTTACTGGCTTCATCCAGATGACTTTACGTCTAAAAAAATCACGAATAAGATCGTACAACAAATTCAGGATCCGTTGGCTTTGGCCGCTGGTGCACTGCCCAATTGGTGTGAAGAGCTCGCACGAAGTTGTCCATTTTTGCTGCCTTTTGAAACAAGACGACTTTATTTCAGTTGTACCGCTTTTGGTGCTTCACGGTCTATCGTATGGTTACAAACGCAGCGAGATGCGATCCTTGAAAGACAAAGGGCACCTGGTCTAAGTCCACGGCGTGACGATAGTCATGAATTTCGTGTCGGCAGGCTCAAGCACGAAAGAGTCAGTGTACCGAGGGGAGAAAAGCTATTAGATTGGGCGGAACAGGTGTTGAAGGTATAAAGGAAAAAAAAAAAGAAAGAAAATTGTACTTAAAATTATGAAATAATACAAAAATACTCATCAATGTACATTTATTTATTTATTTTGTCTTTTATTCTCGTAGGTGCACGCAAGTCGCAAAAGTATACTCGAGGTAGCATTCGTAGGAGAAGAAGGCACTGGTCTTGGACCTACCTTAGAATTCTTTGCACTAGTCGCAGCGGAACTGCAACGCAAAGACTTGAGTCTTTGGTTATGCGATGACACCGCCGATGATAATGCCACTCGGATCTTAAACGAAGAGCAAACATGTATTTCTGGAGAGAAAATTCGGCCTGCGGGATATTATGTAACGCGAGCCAGCGGCTTATTCCCAGCCCCACTACCGCAAGATTCTGCATGCTGCGATCGTGCTGTTCGTTATTTCTGGTTTCTAGGAGTCTTCTTGGCAAAAGTTCTCCAGGATAATAGATTAGTAGATTTACCGTTATCCCGTCCATTCTTAAAATTAATGTGCCGTGGTGATATCTCGAACAATGTCAATGAAAAGATCGGTCTTACTGGCGTTACACAGGAAAGTATGTCATCTAGTATGTCGAGTAGCTTTATATCGGAAGAAGGGGAAAACGATGCTGTGTATTCTTCATTAGAACCTTGTCCGTGGTACGTCGATTTATTAGATATAGAAGATCTTGTCGAGGTGGATCCTGTAAGAGGAGAATTTCTAAGAGAAATACAAAACGCGATCACAAAGCGTGATAGAACTTTTTCTGATGGTCCAAGCTCTACTGACGAAGAAACATTATATATTACTCATCCATCAGGCACTTCAGTGGCTATCGAGGATTTAGCATTAACCATGACGTATTCACCAAGTTCGAAAGTTTTTCAACATGATCAAGTGGAATTGATGGAAAGTGGCTTGGATATCACAGTGACAAGAGAAAACGTAAGAGAATATGCAAATCTTACGATCAATTACTGCCTTAACCAAGGAATTTATAGACAACTCGAAGCGTTCAAATCGGGCTTTTCAAAAGTCTTTCCAATGGAAAAGCTCCATGTCTTTAGTCCAGATGAAATGAGAGCGATGCTTTGTGGAGAACAGAATCCACAATGGACAAGGGAAGATTTGCTCAATTACACCGAGCCAAAATTAGGATATACAAAGGAAAGGTAAGACAGTGCATCAACGATATGTTGTACTCTGTGATATCGCAACTTATTTTTTATAATAAATTTATTACGAGCAAAGTTTAAATGTAAATCTGCACTAATTCATAAAAATAGATTAAATGGACTTAAATGATAGACATAGCATTAATCTCACATTATTTCATTATTTAATTATTTCATTATTTCTATTTTTTCAGTCCTGGTTTCCAAAGATTTGTCAACGTACTATTATCATTAACGGGATCTGAAAGAAAAGCATTCTTACAATTTGCCACTGGTTGTTCGGCTCTACCTCCAGGTGGTTTATGTAATTTACATCCCAGATTGACTGTCGTACGGAAAGTGGACGCTGGTTCTGGTGGTTATCCTTCTGTTAATACTTGTGTTCATTACTTAAAATTACCAGAATATCCTACTGAAGAAATCCTGAGAGAAAGGCTGTTGGCTGCTACTCGAGAAAGAGGGTTTCACTTGAATTGAATTTATTCTCTTATCTCAAGATTCAAGTTAGTCATAAATTATGCGGGAAAAAAATTATACTTAACAGAGATAGGTGTGTGCGTGCGTGTGCGTGCGTGCATGCGCGCGCGCGCGTGTGTGTGCGTGCGTGTGTGTGTGTGTGTGTGCGTGCGCGTGTATGTATACATTATATATGTAAAAACAGATGTACGGCCTTTATTGTAATTTGATAATTTTATTTTTCTGGTACGAATTAGTATAAACAGATAGCAAAAATACGTGTCTAAAATGTTTAAATATGTTTCTTTGATCTTTTTTGTTTTGCCTCCATATTTTACTTCTTAATTTAGATAAAAAATGATTTCACATATTCTTGTTCTTTTTTTTATCCTTTTTCCAGATATTTACGTTGAAAAATGTATCTTATCATTTCAGTAAATTTATGATCAATAAATGAATCATAGTACACTTATCATTCAATGCTTCAAGCTCTCTTAAAATCACATTGATTTTCTGTATATTGATCTTCGTAATATTTCATATACATATATTGGATTGATTCATAAATAACTTTTTTTTTTTACAGAACCTTTATAAATAACAAAACGCAGTGAGCTATGACATGTTTAGCATTTTTTAATTTTCTTTTGTAACGTGGATTTTGTTCCATCAATAATTTCAAAACATTGTTACTGAAACTGGAATAACCTTTATTCGGAATCAATCCATGAGTGATATTTTTCGAATGAAATTATCATAAACCATTTTCACACTCCTCGACCTGTTATAACACTTTCATTATACATTAATGTAATTTTTGAGCCATTACAATAGCACTTCTCTCTTAATAAATTCTTAAAAGTTATGTTATATAATATGGCACATATATATACTTTCAAATCTTTTAAGAGTTTTCACGATTTCAAAATGATGTACTGATATAATATATATTGATTTGTAATTGAGGGACCCTTTACTACTAAGGAAATGTAAAAATTATTAAGTATCATTAAAATAACTTGGTATTCTCCATAGATAAATTATCTACAACATAACTTATTTATGAGTCAATCTAATTAAATTATTAAATATAGGTAAAAACAAGGTAAAAAAATATATATACATATATATA